AGGCACAAACCCCCCCCCATCTTCTAATATGTCCTCCACTTGCCATCAAAAGAAACCATACCTCAATCTTTATCTTACTTCCTTCTTTTTCCCTCATCACTTCCCCCTATCTTCCTCCCCCATCCCCTCCCTAAACTCCCCGCCTTCCTTTTTCCCTCTTCTCTACCCTCTGTACCATACTTCCAAGTACGACAGGGGAATATATTTTCAAAAAATCCTACTTTTTGCAAACTTTACTCAAACATTCATTTGTTTTGCCCAGTTCAGCTTTTTATAAGACTCTTGAAAAATGTTGCGATCTTACACACCACTGAGAACTCCGGCTTATGTTAAGTATCTTACCGACATATAGGCAGCTATAGAACAAGTACACGCACCCCTGACCATTTAATAAAAGTAAATTCAACCTAAAGTCTGATCGCGTCAACCTTGTTGCACCGGCTATTCCTAAATTGAGTGTCTTCTTTTTTTACCCGATGTCCGGTTGCGATACAGTACAAACTGGGACCGGAAAGGTTGACCCGGCTCGGAAATTCAAATGTACTACATATAAACAACTCTGAAAGCTGTCATCAAATTTTTGAACAGCCTCGACTTTAAAGTGTCGCAGCGCCATTGCCTTAGTTTTACCTCACCAACTCACTTCTGTTGCCCTAGACATACATATACAACGGAGTCATGTGACAACGATGATTTTCAGGTGGGAAATAAAATTATTTTTCTTGAAACTATTTACCCCTGCAGTACTGATGTGAGAAGATCTGAACAAGAAGTAGCTCCGGTGGTTTAATGGTCTGGATATATATGATATCTTCATAAAACCTTACTTCATGCCCCCCCCTCCTCATAATTCTACTCATTTATACATTATACTTTCTTCAGATATATACTTGCTTTAATTCTGGAGTACATGGGGTACATGGCACCCTAAACTAAACTTTCAGTGCGTACTGCAATTATCTGCAGTAAACGGACTGAAGAATTGTGGGTTATAGTGGAGAGTGATGATTTTATTCTAGTACATAGTTTCCATTTAAGATTTAATTCCATCCGAGTACTTTAATTTTCAAAAAGTGTTTGAAATTAATAACTCATCATTCTACTCATTTCTACTTTTTATAGTTTCTTCAGTACATTCGTTTATTCTTGAGTACACGGAGTACATGGTTATATTCTAGTACATTGTTTCCTTTTAAGAGTACATGATCTTATTCCATGCGAGTACAACATACTTTAATTTTCTGAAAGTGTTTGAAATTAATAACTCATCATTCTACTCATTTCTACTTTTTATAGTTTATTCAGTACCTTTAAACTATATCAGGAGAAGTGACAATAAAACACGGACTTAACTTCGCCAAATCTCGTAAAAAAGTGTCCACAAATTGGCCACGGAACTAACAAAAAAAAAAGCAGCCGTCCTTAAAAGTTTCAACGTGAAGTATAGTATTAAAATGTGCCTCAAAGTGCCCACAACGCAGTAAAAAACGTTACAACTGCAAAAGTAACCTGTAAGGGACTGTTAGCGTAATTTCAAGTGAACCTCCATGCAAAGATGGCATTGTACGATTTACAACAGAACCCTTCATACCTTTAAATTGATCAAGCATGAAAAAGATGTTAATGTTTTTGTTTCTTTAAACTGTTCATTTTTACTTGCTGTTGCTCTGCGAAAGTGACTTGTTCATTTCTTGTTATTAAGAAGCAACGGAGACAGGAGAAGCTCGCAGAAATAGACACTTTTCAAGCAAAAAAACTTCGGTATCTTCATCAGATAAAGGTTGTAAAGGTTCCATTATGTATCAGACATGGCTATCTTTGCATGGAGGGTCACTTGAAATTACGTTTTCAATCACTTTAATATTTTTTAATAATTAGTCACTCATTTTCTATTATCTAAAATTTGGAGGATTTGTACATTTGCAAATCTTGAAAGTTAGTTTGAGTACACTTTGATAAAAGTTATTTTAATACATTATTAATTCTTAAAGTGGAATCCTTTAAACTTGGAGAACAATGAGCTCTAGGGGGGGGGGGGGATAAAAGGTTTTTGCAAACTATTCCTTTGAGAGATATATTGGAAGTGTGCAAAGAGACACATGCGGCAGAAAATGGAAATTTTGCAACTTTTTGCAGTCAAGGTGTTGGCACTTTACAGAACAGCCCAAAATTAGAAATAAAATACAGAACGTGATTTCTTACAAAATTGAGAATATTTTTATTGTTCCTTAATTTTTAAGCTGTTTTTTAAGTTTAAAGAGATGGATAAAGTTTACATCTAAAAGAAATCTCTTAGAAAAATGAATTAAAAATGTGCCTTGCTAAAAATATTATAGCTAATTAACTAACTTAATATTTTATTGAAAAAACAAAACGAAAAAACTTACATACCTTCATAATTTTAATTCATTCACTTTTTTAACTCAAGTACTTTTCACTCTACAATTGAGAATCACTCGGAATATGAAATTTGTCACTTTTTCACTTCTTTATTCAAACGTACTGACACCTTGCAGGGTTAAAGAGCTACTGTCAATTTCTAGAGGAAGAAAAGCAGAAAATCTGCGGACCCTGTGTGTCGAGCCGGTACGAAAAGTTTAGCCGGTAGGTCGGACTGGTACAAAGTTTTCAGCCTGGACCGGTTCAGCGGTATGTCGTTCTGGTACACATACATTCTAGCCGCGACGTGACAAATTTTCTCAATTTCCCGTCAAAGAAGACACATATCATTTCCCTGTTGTACTATTCCGACTGGTATCAAGGAATCGAACGGTTTAACCCTCGCTGCAGTTGCATTTACAGATTCTCACATTTCCACCGTAACTAAATTAGAATACGCATTAAATCAATTATTTGTGGTCATAATTAAATTTACATCACAAATATTAAACAATTATCAATCATAAATTTTAGAACTAACGAAATATCAACAGCTGCTTAGGGTTAGAAATTATATTAAATTTTATAGGGAAATCGGTGAGTTGGGAAAAATATAACTTTTAAAAACATTACTGTCATAAAAATCTTTAACGAGAATTAAACAAATTAGCGGATGATTTTCAAATTAATGGAAGATTTTCACAAACAAGAAGTTACATATTTAAAAAATGTATAAATTAAAGAATTTTGAAAGTTAAAAAAACAAGCAAAAAAATGGAATTTTTGAAATATGTGCATCTGTATAGATTTGTTAGATAGCATCAATTAAAAAGACAAAAAATTTGGTAAATAGTAAATTGAAAATTTCGTTAACAAACGAACAGAAGAAACAGAATAGTTGATTTTTAATAACAAAAAGACAACAAGCATTACCTGGTTAAATACAATCTGATGGGCCTAGCATTACCTAGTTAAATACTACAATCTAATGGGCCTAGCATTACCTGGTTAAATACAACCTGATGGGCCTAGAATTACCTGGTTAAATACAATCTGATGGGCCTAGCATTACCTGTTTAAATACATCTGATAGGCCTAGAATTGCCTGGTTAAATACAACCTGATGGACCTAGAATTACCTGGTTAAATACAATCTGATGGGCCTAGCATTACCTGGTTAAATACAATCTGATGTACCTATCATTACCTGGTTAAATACAACCTGATGGACCTAGAATTACCTGGTTAAATACAACCTGATGGACCTAGAATTACCTGGTTAAATACAACCTGATGGACGTAGAATTACCGTTATCAAAATTGTTATTGTTTAAAAAACTACTAAAGTGCCCAGTCCTACCTAAAAAAATATAAATATTTCCGCAGCAATGATTTCTACCTTTCTGCTTCCGGAGAAGTTAAATATAACTTTTAATGTAACCTTTTTATTCGAGTCATGTCAATTTCAAGTTTATCGTTTTTCTCATAAAATATGAATAATAATATAATTCTTGAACTACTTCTTCACAGAACGCATATATGGAAGAAAAAAAACTGAGCAAAAATTAATGTCTTATTAAATATGAATAATAATAAAATTAATGTCTTATTAATGTTATTTTGAATCTTAAAGGGGAAAAAGAATGAACTTAAAATTGGCTTTAAAGAAACATCGGATCATTCAAAATAAAAATAGTTTTTTTACAGAATGTATAGAATGTGAAGTAAATCGGTAAACAAATTTTAATCTGAATATTCGTTTGTATAGTCTTTAACACTACAAAAGTTCTGCCACAGTAATTTTTTTACAAAAATTTGGAGAGAAAAAGATATTCAAAAATCGATCGGCCCCAAATGACCCCCGAGAAAGATTATGGATGATTAAAAATGAACCTTTTTCCTCGGGGAAAAAAATAGGCATTTATTTTTTTGAAAATGCGCCGATCTAAACAATAAAAACTCCCGAATTTTTTTTATTTTTAAGAGAACGATGGATTAAATGGCGACTTCAAAGCAACTGTTGAAAATTTATATTTTTAACAGAAAAGCGAATGCGACGCGCTTTTAAATCCTAGTCTATCTAAATAATAAAGCTCTTCGTTTATATTATATATATATATATATATATATATATGTGTGTGTTAGCCAAAACGGCTGGATCAAATTGGCTGATTTTTTGTGAGTTAAAAAATTCAAAATTTGTTTTTCCAAAAGCGTTTTTAAAATTCCACAGGCAACGCCGGGCACTTCAGCTAGTAATATATATAGGTCTCCGATACTGATAAAATCAAAATAGATTATGAAGTACAATGGGTGGCAACAGAGAAATGGATGGATTATACATGACGTCACAAGTGTCAAATATAACAAGAAAAAGCGAAATTTTCTCAAATTAGTTTAAATGTTTTCCAAGATAAAATTAAAAATGTAAAAACAGAAAATATACTACACATAAAATTGCACTTATTTTATTGTAATATAAGCACTTTATTCTACAATTATCACTTTTATTAGTAATTTAATAATTTAATTCTACGTTGCCATCTATTGTACTAGAATATATTTGATAAAATCTACCCAGACCCTTGCCCGTAGTTTAATTTTCCTGGAAAGCAATAGAACCCGTGTTACTGGCAAGAAAACTGGTTAGTAAACCTTTATATCTTTAGTTTAGCAGAAAATTGAACAACAAAATTTTATTTAAATTCAGGTTTTCTTTTTTTCAAATTTTAAGGGCTAACAGGGGAGGGGAGGGGAAGGGTAGGGCACAGTGATCAAAAGTGTGCTCTCGTTCAAAAATCTATGAGCATCTTACCAATTACTTTTTAAAAACTAAAGCTGAAAACAATAGTAACACACATTCAAAATACGTTGTAATTGTCCAGGGCGTTGTAACAATTCAAAGTCGCGGTCTCGCCTTGAAGATTGACTTTTTACAGCAGCCTGGATCTATGTGAGATGCCAATTTTAATTTCAACGTGTGATTTTAACTTTTTTATGAAAAAGAGAAAATTAACGTTTTTGTGTTTTGTCCAGAAAGAAGCCACTACCGCAATTTAATATTTTGATAAAATTTTAGCTATTTTTTAACAATCTAAATATATTTTAAATAATAAAATAAAACGTTTCAATATTAGCAGCTCAGTAATGTCTCTTTCGTTAAATGAATGAATTTGTTTTTATTTTAATTGCAAAATGAAATTGTTTATAAAGCTGATTGATAAATGAACACCCATGTTTAAATTACTAAATAAATCTCTCAAATTAACAATAAATTCTAATTATTGTATGTATTTTGTGGACTGAAATATGAGCCATGTTTGTGAATAAGTTTATAAATGTCAGTTTTATTGCCTTCTTTAATAAGCCAATTCATGTGCAATTTTATTTGCTACATATTGGAAGCCATTGGGAAGTGTTCGGGGGGGGGGGGGGGGGTTGTATCGGTTCCCTTTTTTGGCGAAAGCGGTATGCACAAATTCACAAATTTATGGTTCTAACGGCATTGAGACGTCGATTTTTGGCCAATACTTTTTAAGCATTTTGCCAGATATACGACAATTCCTAGTCCGAGCCACATTCTCCTCATTTCTCGTCCGAGCCACCTCAAATCCTCGTCCTTTCACAAATATTTTTTTATGTGTCCAATCCTAGAAGATAAGAATATTTTTTGAAAATCTGTCCACGTTAGGGAATAAATAAAATATTGGATTTTCTATTACAAATTTAAAATTTTTTGAAAAATTGATAGGGTCCCAAAACGATGTTCTACAATTAAGCATCTGTCTGCAGTAGCCATAGTAGCCCTTTTTCTCGTAGAATGCCGCAAAGTATTATGAAATTCAATCAAACAGCTGTTTCTATTCTTACACTTTATTTTCAACCACATATCCTTAATGATTTAAATACTGTTTAAATTCATAAGGTTGTGATGGATAAATTGTAGCAAATGATTTAAATAATTTAAATTAAACATTATTTTCTCCTTGGATATAATCATGTGACAGGCAGAAGTCATCTTGGTACGAGAACAAAAATTTGCCTAGTTTGTAAATATAACAGAAATCAATGATTTTTCTATATGGGTTGAAATGGAAAACTTATAGACCATGTTCAAGTTAATACTTTGATATAATTTTTAAGTTATGAAAATTAGCCATTTTGGAGGCAGAAGAGGTTCAAATTTTAAACTGAATAAAGTTTGACATCATTCTCATGGATTTGAAGATTCCAACATTATAAAATCATTGCAAAACTATAGGCTAACCATGTTTTATGCCCTAACGTGGCTAGATTTTTAAAAAATATTCTCATCTTCAAGGATTGGATACATAAAAAATATTTTTGAAAGTATGAGGATTTCGAGGTGGCACGGACGAGAAAATGAGGAGAATGTGGCTCGGACTAGGGATTGTTGTGGTTGGCCTTCCTCCACTCAATATACGACATGACTTTATTGAGACATTTAGGAGGTTGGCAGGACAGTGATTTTGCATTTTGCATAATCAATAAACAAAAAAGATTCAATCTACAAAAGAGAAATTAAATATCGAATGCATTTTCTGCGTCTTCTAACTACATCAGTGGGTGCAATTATTCAATCGAACTTGTGAAGAAAACTCGTTAGTTAGACGAGGGGAAGTAAAGAATTTATTATCAAAGGGACTATGAGCGTAATTTCAAGTGACCCTCCATGTAGGGTTGTTAATCTTTTTTAAAAACGATCGGAAAAACGATTGTTTTTCGTTTTGTTTTAATTTTTTTTTTATAAAAGATTTCGGGTTTGTTTTTGAACTTTCAAAAACGAAAAACAATCGTTAAACTAAAACGATAGTTTTTTAAATGATCTTTTTAAAAAAACAAAAAAACTATCGTTTTTTAAAATTTTGCTAATGAAACTGAGTTTTGTACAATGTATTTTTTTTATCGAAAAAATAACCTAAATGTTTTCTAACCTCGTTTTCCGTTTTTTAAAACTTAACAATTGAAACTCTTTGCATGGAGGGATGGATCCCTTTTTTCCCGAAAACAATCGTTTCGTTTTTCGTTTCTTCTTCGACTTTTTCAAAAGAAACGATCATTTTTTTAAAAAAAGGGGAAACGATCAGTTTAGACTGTACGCAGTTCACACTGGAATTTGCAGTTGAATACAAGCTAGTTTTGATAAGTTTACACACACATCTCTCCGTACTCTCAGAACATATAAAGGTTTTCAGGGTACCGTTGTAAATCAGAAAATGCCCTCTTTGCATGTTGTGCCAC